TTCCCCGCTGGAAAAGCTATTTTTGGTGTTTTTTTTTTTTTTAATTTTATGTTGTGCCCCCCTCCCCGGCTAAGCGGTTGCTGGCGCTCCCTCCCTTCTCCACTTCGTCCTGCTGCTGCTGGTGATGATAGTGAAGAAGGAGCCCGGGGGGGGGGTTGTGGCTGGCGACGACGGCTTGAGCGCTACTCCTCCTCCTCGGAGCCCCAGCCAGGCTAAGGAAACTCCTGGGTGGCTTCCTCAGGCTCTTGCTCCGCTTGGCGGAAAATCTGATGCGGCCCAGCCTCACCCAGACTCTGCCTCCAGCAGCCCCCAGGTAAATTGAGTTTAAAACCCCTGCTGTAGATCATCAAGTCCTCCATGTACCAAGGAGACCCAGTGGAGGAATAGAAATCCCAAGCGCTGGCTCCGTAGCCAGAGTCCAGAAGGAACGATTGACCTCATGGCTCCAGAAGAGAACTGGGTTTTTGGAACGCATCTCACCAAATTCACTTTCTCTGGATTCTTCTTTACACGGCCTTTCGTCCTTCTCCGGCTTTATGATAAGGTGAGGAGATCCTGGAACAGGAAAAGAAGGCAAGAGGGACTGGTTAGCAGGGTTTCCTCCTCTCTCATGGTCTGCATCATTCAACCTTGGAAGAGGTTTGCTTGATCAGCAGGAAGTACCGTATTTTTTCCATGTATAAGACTATACTTTTGTCTAAAATCCTTAGACTAAAAATTGAGGGTTGTCTTATACACGGTAGTAAGCTGAGGAGACAGAAAAAAAACAAGTGGAAGGGAAAGCAGGGATCAAAGCAATCCTGCAGTCCTTTGATCCATTTCCCTCTACACTTTGCTAAGCCCCACTTAGATTTCTCAATTTTGAGTTAGAAAAATGGGGGCGTCTTATATATTGGGGGCATCTTATACATGGAAAAATACAGTAAATCCTTCATCTAATTTAGAAACTGCTTTGAGTGAAAGTATTTCTAAAAATACCACCTTAGAACAGACTTTCCCTCCCGAATGGAAGCGGGCTGGGGGCTCCTTCTCCTACCCTGATGCTTCCTCTGAAGATTAAAAAGAGGGATTTCCATTTTAACTGCAGAGCAATGGTACGAGACTTTAGTAGGCCCGGTGGGCCCAGTTTGCTCACCCTGGCTTTCCAGTCATCATATATTCCTTAAATGAAAAGGCATGTAAATATTAAAATTCTTTTAACCAGCTCTCAGATGTAGGAGTCAAAGGTGGTATTTCCCTAGGCCAGCTTGCCCCTCCTACAGGAGTTTTCTCCCTCCATCCCAAACAGGGGTAACAGTCCTCTATTCTAACGGAAATCCTATCCTTCTATTCAATGAGGGGATAATAAGGCTTTCAAGTGTTACTCCGATCCCCATTTGTTGCTATTATTTGCCATCAAGTTGGAACCAACTTATAGCAATCCTAATAGGACCTTCAAGGTAAATGAGATATTTAAGGAGCGGTTTTACCCATTCCACGGCCCTACTTAATTTCCACGGCTGAACAGAGATTTGAGTCTTAGTCTGTCACTTTATCAACTAGGTCCTACTGAATTTCCACGGCTGAGCAGAGAATTGAGTCTTAGTCTGTCACTTTATCAACTACACTAGATGCCCATGATTAGAAAAGGGAAAGTTCAAAAAATATGAAGAAATGATCAAATTGAGGTAGGATATTTAAATCAGTAAGCTTCTTTGAGACACTTTGCCTTTCAGATGGCTGAAGAACTTTCTTTCAAGAATAGTTTGTTTTACAAGTCCAGATGAATTAAATACTATGGAGTTCAGTGGAGCTCGCACTGAGTTAACTATGCATGAGATTCCAGTCCTGCTGGTCGTAAGGAGTCGATCCTTATAGTATGTGCAGCTGTAGCTGCTCTTCGGAGAATGGGTGGAAGGTGACACCTATTCAGGACACACAGTCCTCACATACTGTACAGTGGTGTCCCGCATAGCGATGTTAATCCGTTCCGGATTAATCGTCGCTATGCAAAAACATCGCTAAACGGATCGAAAAAACCCATAGGAACGCATTAAACTTAGTTTACTGCGTTCCTATGGGTCCCAAACTCACCGTTCAGTGAAGTTCCTCCATAGCGCCGCCATTTTCGCGCCCTTGGTAAGACAGGGCAGGGCGCGAAAACACTTGCGACGCCCATTTTGGGCACCCGGCGGCCATTTTGGAACCGCCGATCAGCTGTTTAAAAAAACATCGCAATGCGAAGATCGGTAAGCGAAACGCTTACCGATCATCGCAATGCGATGTTTTACCCATTAAAAAAATCGCAATGTGATCGCATTAGCGATCTAAAAAATTAGATCGCTATGCGGATTCATTGTTAAACAGTGCGCTCGTTAAGCGAGGCACCACTGTACTTCTACCTTTCAGAATTACAAACCAATGTGTTAAGATCTTTCTGTTACCACCAACTGATCAAGGATAGGCTCCTAAGAAAGGTCCAGAGCCCCATACACCTCATACATCTTGGAGGGCTGTTCCCCAAGAATAGTAAGAAAGGGCTTCCACTAGCCTTGAACTCTCTCTAGAAGCAAAAAGGATGAAACGAGGGCTGTTCATATTTCAAGAGCCTCACGAGAAGGGAAAGCATGCTGTAAAAGACAATAAGGCTAGGAAAAGTGGAAGGCAGCAGGAAAAGAAGAGGACCAAACATGAGACGGATTGACTTCCTAAAGGAAGCCATGGCGTTGAGTTCGCCCGCGCTGAGCAGGACTGCTAATGGCAGGATATTCCAAGGAGCACTCATTCATACTGTTGCTGTAAGTCAGAGGTGATGGGACAGCATGTAACAACCATTAGCTCCTTCGTCACCTGAGCTGGTCCTTGGGAAGGTCGGGGATTCCCATTGATGCAAGCCACACGGCTTCTCTTCTTGTTCCAATTTGATTGCCACATCATGAAGTCCTAATCATGAGACAAAGATAGGGAAATGGGCTTCAGAAGGTTAGACTGACCTCTTATCCCAGAGAAAGAAAGCACTGCGTTTTCATAACCAATCTCATAGGTTTCCTCAGGGGTAGGAAATCTATAGCCTTCCAGGTACTGCTGGGCTACAACCCCCAGATTTTCTCACCCCAGCCTATGCTGGGAAGCATTAATGGGAGAGGCAGACTAACAATGTAAAAAAGGCCAGGATTTTTCTATCCCTGCTCTAGAATTTAGCACAAAAGTGTAAATTCCCTTTGTTTTCGCTTTGCTGCTTTTGTTTTTCCTCCTTACCTGGGTTACGGTCCAATGTAATCTCCATTTCCTCCCCCCAAAAAATGAGGTAATCTGGAAATGGTTTCTGATCAAATCTGGCTTACTCTGTGGAAATCCTGCACAAGAATACAAGGGAAAGGAGGAGAGAAAAATATGAGTATAAGATTTAAGATCTGAAACACTAAAAAAAAATCAAGTGACATTTGGCACTGTAACAGGTTCCACAATCATATGGTAGAAGATGAGACTTGATGTATGACACACCTAAACGCACACCCTCTCGCTTTCATTCAGATACACTCAGCAAAAAAATGAACCTAAGTATAACCAAGTAATTTCTTTCTGAGACGACTTCTGATTTCAACTTGGTCACATCTGTACCAATACAGATTGATGGATTGATTGGATGCAAACGGACAAACAGTTAAGTTAAAAGTACAGTGGTGAAACCGCATAACGAAGGGTTCGCTCAGCGATGGCCCCTATGGGCTTTTTTCGCTATGCGATGATCGCGCGGACGCAATCAAAGCATAGCGAACAGCTGATCGGCGGTTCCAAAATGGCCGCCGCTAAAACAAAATGGCAGATTTGATGTATGACACGCCTAAATGCACACCCTCTCGCTTTTATTCAGATACACTCAGCAAAAAAAAAAATGGAACTAAGTACAGTATAACCAAGTGGTTTCTTTCTGAGCCGATTTCTGATTTCAACTTGATCACATCTGTACCAATTGATGGATTGGATGCAAATGGACAAACAGTTTAAGTTAAAAGCAATTTGAAAGAGACTCTGGGTTTCCATATGCATTCCCACAGCCCAACCATAACCCTGTTAATTAGATCTTGAAGTTTTTGTGAGAACTGCAAGCAAAACTTGTTGATGACCAGTAAGGACCAGAGCACTCTGTAGAATCTAAAGAAACTCTGGGTTTCCACAGCCCAACCACAAATCTGTTAATTAAATCTTGAAGTTTTTGTGAGAACTGCAAGTAAAACCTGTTGATGATCAGTAAGGACCAGAGCACTCTGTAGAATCTGCATCACAGCAGTCACTGGAAGCGAAACTTTTCACAAACCAGCCTGAAAAGCAGGAGGTCTATTGGTTGCCTCTGTTTTCCCTTCATCTCTTCTCATGCTCATCAAAACTGCTCAAGCGCTCCCAGTAAAGGAGTCTTTCAATTTATCCCTTCATAAACTCCTCTTGCTGTATTGTTCTTTCCCAGCCCAATTCAACAGCAGTAAATTCCCACCTGCTCCCCTCTTTTCTCCTTCGTGAATTTCACAACTGGTGTTCCCATTAACATGAATAATTCTGCATTGCCCCTTCAACAGTTTTTGACTGAGTTTCTCTAAGTGGGTGATAAGTTCACTTCCTACATCCTGTCACGTGACTGAAACCAGGCTCCTGCTGGCAAAACAAACTCAAGCTCATTCAACAGACTCCCTGAGAAGACAGATGATTGGAAGAAGGAAATAGGCATCATCTCTTGCAGTGGGGAAAGGAAGCTGCTGAAATCTATTTCTTTGGGTCAGTGTTACTTAGCTGGTCAAGCAGAATGGATCTCCACTTATGTGGCCAGGCTCTGCTCTTTTTAAAAGGAAGGAGAATCTCCGTTTCCAACCCATAGAGCCAGCGTTTTGTCTGAAGACAATCTTCCGTGGTCACGAGGCCAGTGTGATTAGACACGCAACGCCGTTACCTTCCCGTCGTGGTGGTACCTATTTATCTACTCGCATTTTTGCATTTTGCATGCTTTTGAACCTCTAGGTTGGCGGGAGCTGGGACAAGCGACGGGAGCTCACTCCGTCGCATGGATTCGATCTTACGACTGCAGGTCTTCTGACCTTGCAGCACAGAGGCTTCTGCAATTTAACCCGCAGCGCCACCACGTCCCCCTCTTTTTTACCCCCACAGAAAAAGCAAAGCACCTTCATTTGGTGTTATCAATGTATATGGATCTAAGTAGGAGGGTTAATTTTATTTATTTATTTATTTGATTTATATGGACCTAAGTAGGAGGGTTAAGATAACAGACAAGAAGAAAAACATTAAGACCTACTTGGAAGACACAAATTAAGGCAATAGTTAGTGAAGAATGGATTAAGGACAACACCTGGACAGAGCAGGAAAGGCAGAGTTGAAAGCAGTTTATTTAAATAAAAAGCCCTTTGCCTAATAGAACTCCAAAAGCCTTATTATTTAGGCAAGCCTATAAAGGTACTGTACATGGTGGCGCTGCGGGTTAAACCGCAGAAGCCTCTGTGCTGCAGGGTTGGAAGACCAGCAGTCGTAAGATCGAATCCATGCGATGGAGTGAGTGCCCGTCGCTTGTTCCAGCTCCTGCCAACCTAGCAGTTCGAAAGCATGTAATTGCAACGAGATGAATAGGTACCACCACGGTGGGAAGGTAACGGTGTTCTGTGTCTAGTGGCGCTGGCCACGTGACCACGGAATCTGTCTATGGACAAACACTGGCTCTACGGCTTGGAGATGGGGATGAGCACCGCCCCCTAGAGTCGGACACGACTGGACTAAATGTCAAGGGCAACCTTTACCTTTACCTGGCCCATAAGAGCTTTCAAACCACAGAGGTTTCACTGATGTGCCTCTTTCCCCTCTTTTTTTAAAGCAAATTATCATTGGCATTCTACTGGAAAGATTAATGGGTCTTAATTTTAATTGAATTTTAATAATACAGTGCCTGAAATGCACCTACAACTTCTCTGTAGGTGCCACCAATTCAATGGGCCCATACTAATTACAATTTACTATATTAAGCAATAGGATTTCAGTAAATGAGTTATTCTTTTTTATATTGGTGACTTACTGTATTTTAATTTTGCTGGCCAGAATCCTAACAATGTTTGAACAATGTATTCGCGAAGGCTTTCATGGCCGGGATCTAATGGTTGTTGTGGGTTTTTCGGGCTCTTTGCCGTGTTCTGAAGGTTGTTCTTCCTAACGTTTCGCCAGTCTCTGTGGCAGGCCTTATGAAGAAAAAGGCAGCATCTACACTTCTTCAAAAAGAATTAAAAATAGTAACTCTTATTTAATTTATTTATTTAATCTTTAACTGAAGAGCTAGAAGGGACCTTATGGATCATCCAGCCCCTGTCAAGGAGGCACAGTGGGGAATCAAACTCCCAGCTCCACAGCCAGACACCAAAACCACTGAGCAATCCAGCTTGCGATTTAAAAATATTTTTACCCCGCCTTTCTCCTCAAAAAGAACCCAAGGCGGCTTACATCACTAGAAGGCAACACTGAAAGCTAAAAACAGAAAGTAGATAAACAAATACCCCCCACACACACAAAAATAGCAAACAGAAGCAACATCAAAAACACACTCAACGTGGTAAGGCACAACAATCCATTTAAAAAACCCACTCAAGCAGCCATTTGTCATTTTCAGTGATCAAACGGAGCTTAAAAATTAAGGGAACAAAACCACAACCCGTCATAATTATGTACTTGCGTTAAACCAGAATTTGGATTGTCAGTTTTTTAAAAGTACAGGTGGATCAGGCCAAGGGCCCATCCAGTCCAGCTTCCTGGATCTCACAGTGGCCCCACCATATGCCTCTGGGAGCACACGAGACCACTGGATACCCGTCTCCTGATGCCCCTCCCCTGCATCTGGCATTTGGAGGTCCCTTCCTTTTAAGCCTGGCGATTATACATCCCCATCATCATGGCTTGTGGCCTGTGATGGGCTTTTCCTCCAGGAATCTGTTCAATCCCCTTTTTGAGGCATCTAGGCCCGATGCCATCACCGCATCCTGTGGCAAGGGGTTCCACAGACTAACAACACGCTGGGTAATGAAAGATTTTCTTTTGTCTGTTCTCACTCAATTGGAATGGATGTCCCCTGGTTCTGGTATTGAGTGAGAGGGAAAAGAGCTTCCCTCCATCCACTGTATTCATTCCCTGCATAGTTTTAGACGTCTCAGTCATGTCCCCCCTCAGACGCCTTTTCTCTAGATTAAAGAGCCCCAAATGCTGTAGCCTTTCCTCATAAGGGAGGTGCCCCAGTCTAATCATCATTTTAGTTCCCAGAAGCCTTCATCACCAGTTGTGTTCTGGGAGTTGCAGTCCAAGAATACCTTGGTTACTCAATGTTGGGAACCATTGGTCTACCAACCGGCAAAGCAAGTGCAGCATCACTGAGTTGCGGCCTGTGGCTGCCCCCGTCAAGTTTTCTCTGTAAACTCCTCAGGGCAGGGACCTTTCAACTTCTATTTTGTCAAGCTCACCAATGGAGTAGAAATACAAATTAGTAACAGCAACCTCCTCAAGCTCACTCATAGCCACCAGGAAATTCTGGCTCAGAGTTCAAATCATCTCCAATCTACAGCTGGAGAAGATATTATCTGGAACAGGTTGCCACCAAGCATCAGGAACCCCTCCTCAATTTCCAGGTGGATCTAAACAGGAAATGGGCTTCTAATCAGTGGAGAGCTAACCTTAATTCACCCGATTCAGATGTTGTGGGTCACAGTGGTTACAGCGACCAGAAATTAGATGGAAACTATTATAAAAGAAGGAGAATTATACAAGCCAATAACCTTGAAAATAAGCTCAACCAAAACAAGGGTGGTTTTCCTCACAATCACTTTCACACCAGTCAAAACCCAAAAATGCAACATCCGGAGGAGGCCCAGTTCCTCACTCCAGCAGCAATGCAAGCCCACAAATTACGTACACACGGAGTGGGACTACATAGCAAACGAAATGCGCATTCATTCACTCGCTGTGAAGTCACATCAGGGAATTCGGGTCACAGTTTGACTTACAGCTCTGCAGGTTTAAAGAACTGCAATAATAGGCGCATCAGGAATTCGGGTCACAGTTCTACTTACAGCCCTGCAGGTTTAAAGAACTGCAATAATAGGCAAAAAAGACAGGCTTTTCCCAGTCTGGGGGCTTTGCCTTGTTAAATTGTTAAAAAATAAATAAAGTAACGAAATAACAGGAAGGTTGTCCTGGAGAAGAAGCTTTAAAAAAAAAAGGAGTAAGAGAGGAATGGAGAGAGGCCTTGCTGGGCAGTGTGTGTGTTATTGCTCTTTTCTCTCTGTGTGTGCAATGCACACCCAAGCCTTAATAAGGTAAGATGCTTTGAGTGCGCACTGCACACACCTCTTCCCTTTCCGCATCGATTCAGGAAATTATATCTTTGCATTAATTAATCTAAAAGGATTCGAAATTTCGAAAAACAGAAGGTGGACAGGAGGAGCTACAGAGTGGAAGGATGGGCGATTGCGGACTAATTCGCGTTTCCCATTGAGTCATCTGATCAACAGGGGGAGACAATGCGAATCAGCCCGAGGATTTTGCGCAGCTGTTGACAACAGGATCGCGCCCCCCTTTGTTTGCCTCATAGTCGGTGTGCAGGATTCCAAAACAGACCACAGTCTGGCACACATCTGGAGCAGCCCAAATTTCTCACGCAAGCGAATCAAACACACAGAACACACAAACATCGGTTTCTTTCTCCGTTTCCAAAAGCTTTAGCCAACTTTATTCAATAAAATAAAATAAAATAAAATTAAAGGTAGCTAGAACCCAGGAGGGAAAGGCAACGGTGGAGAGAAGAGGTGACACCCACCCTCTTCCATTCGGAGCCGAATTCGGGATTTCAGCCCGGGGGGTGGGGGGGAACAAAATTCCGTCGAAGTGGGCAAGGGATTCCCGTCCCTCTCCGGGCGAGGAAGCGAGAGTTGCAAGAAGTTTTCAGGAGGGAGAAGGCGCCTCCAGATCTTGGGAGGGGCTGTCAGCCATCCCTGGAAAGCCCTGCTACGCGACCTGACAGAGCCCACCCTGTAAACAACCACAGCAAGCAAGCCAAGCCTTTCTTAAACCACTTCCCTGCAAACTACAAAATGTCGGTCTGCGTCGCTTCGGCTCTGCTTTGCCTTCCCGTCCCTCCGCCTTCGCACCAGCTGGGCGATCCACCAGGATTGCTTCCCTGCCCGGAAACCACTCTTATTTTGCTCTCCCCTCCCCCAACCCGATCCCTTGTTGTTGCATGCTTCCTATTTTATATATATATTGTGTATATAAACCCGATCCTGCGCCAGGAATTTCCTTCCCCTCCCCCCCCCACGCCTTCCTCTCTTACTCTTTTGCACGATTTCCACAATCTTTGTCCCCGACTTCAAGCTGGTGCTCTTGGGAGGACCCCCACCCGGGTAACGTTGCTGCGCTTTTGTTCTTGTGTATCTTGCCTTTTCTTTTTTTTCCCTTTAAAAATTGATGGCCAGCTTGTTCCCCCTTCCACGCCCCGCCCCCCTTCCTCTCACGTGACGGACTAAAGCCACGCCAAGCTCCTGGCAAGAGGAAAGCAAAGCACCAGAGGCGCGTGCCTGGAAGAGATCGCTGAATTAATAAACAAACAAATGTATTTTTAATTAATTGATGTGTTTGTTTGTTTATTTATTTATTTATTTATTTATTTATTTGATTTGATTTGATTTGTATCCCGCTCCCATTTAGTATCACAGCACTACTCTGGGCGGGTTACGACAGGTATACTAGAAAACAAAAATAAAAATAAGAGACATTAAAACCAGCAGCAATAACCCTAAAAAAAACACAGATGGAGTTCTGCACTTCTGGACCAAATCCGTCTCACGCCCACTGGTCAGGTAGCCTTGGATTCGTTCTCTCTAGACCAGGCATTTTATGGCAATCCGCGTTCCTAATACAAGTGGTCCAATAAACATTTAACTTGACTCTCACACTAAGCTAATTTATCTGTGCCATAGTATCACTTCCTTTCGGACACGTTTTATGTTTACCTCTGTGTGTGTGTTTAGTCGTTTAGTCGTGTCCGACTCTTCGTGACCCCATGGACCAGAGCACGCCAGGCCCTCCTGTATTCTACTGCCTCCCGGAGTTGTGTCAGGTTCATGTTGGTCGCTTCAATGACACCGTCCAACCATCACATCCTCGGTCGTCCCCTTCCTCGGTTTACCTCTACCACACACCTATGCTGTGTGTGATCATGTCACTTCTGAATTATAAGGATCCTGATAGGATTTTGGAGGTATGTGATATGGTTCAAGAGTGGTTTATCATTGCTATCACCCCCTCTTCGTCTATGTTGGCTCGGGCATGTTGTGAGAATGGCTGATGGTCGGATTCCAAAAGATCTTCTGTATGGAGAATTAGTGCAGGGAAATCGCCCCCGAAGGGGCAATACAAGGATATCTGCAAGCGGGATCTGAAGGCCTTAGGAATAGAACTTAAGAGATGGGAAACCCTGACATCTGAGTGTTCAGCCTGGAGGCAGCCGTTGCATCACAGCCTCTCCCAATTTGAAGAGACCCTTGTCCAGCAGGCCGAGGCAAAGAGGCAGTCCCAAAAGCAGCAAAATCAGGGAGCTGGACAGGGGACAGATTGTGTTTGTCTTCAGTGTGGAAGGGATTGTCACTCTCAAATTGGCCTTCTCAGCCACACTGGATGCTGTTTCAAGACCTCTATTCAGAGCACATTACCATAGTCTCTCGAGACTGAAGGATGCCTACACCCCCCATCGTTCTTTCAGCAAAAATGGACCGGAATATTGAAGGATGCCTACACCCCCCCTTCGTTCTTTCAGCAAAAATGGACCGGAATAAACACTTTCCCAAAAAGTAGAGACAAAAAGGTCAGTATGTCAAATGTATGGATGTCTCCCTGGAAACCAAGATCAGCTACTCTCTTGATGATCACCATTTATGAGCGCGAAAGCTGGACAGGAAGAAAGCTGACAGGGAAAAAATAGATTCATCTGAAACATGATGCTGGACGAGAGCTTTGTGGATACCCTGGACTGTCAGAAAGATTAACTAGGCAGAATCAAGCCTGAACTATCTCTGGAAACTGAAGTTGTCCTGCTTTGGGTACGTCAAGAGAAGGAAGGATTCTCTAGAAAAGACAATAATGCTGGGAAATGATGCTCTGCCTTTAATAGAATTACTACGAAGTTCCAATCCTTATTAAGAGTCTGAAAATAAATGACAGTTTCATTTTGTCTCATTTATACCGAGATCAGGAAAAAAGTGACTTAAAAGAACCCTATAAATAACTCATTGGCTCTGGATTGACTGTAATGCTGCAACAATATAAACACCATTATCCACCACTTACAACAGGTACGGTAATCTATAAAATTATATCCTCTGGGTGCAGTCTAGTTACCAGCTTGCCATCTTCAGTGGGGAAATATCTCAGGCAGGTCTCCACTGATTACTTTGTACAAAACCCTTCAGTTCCTCTCATTTAACTGTGGGTTCTTGAATATCAAATTTTCCAACTAGCATTTAAAAAAGAAACCAGAAATTGTGGGTTGAGAAGATTTTTTTGATAAGAGCATTGAACAATATACAGTAGTACAAAACCAAATGGTCTATGCAGGAATCAGTAATGGCATTTAAATGGTATTTAAACTGAATTTTTTTTAAAAAAAAAATCCCTCTTCGATGGGTCCCCTTATCGGGAGAAAAAAGGTAAAGGTAAAGGTTCCCCTTGACAATTTGTCCAGTCATGTCCGATTCTAGGCGGCGGTGCTCATCTCTGTTTCCAACCCATAGAGCTAGCGTTTGTCCACAGACAATCCTCCATGGTCACGTGGCCAGCGTGACTACCTTTTCCCTGAGGTGGCACCTATTTATCTACTCGCATTTTTGCATTTTGCTTGCTTTGGAAGCGCTAGGTTGGCGGGAGCTGGGACAAGCGACGGGGGCTCAAATGAATAAAGAACTGATGCTTATTAAACAGCGAGAATTTCCAGGAAACCCCTGCAGTACTTTTGGTGAAAGTGAGATGGTTATGTTAATTTTCACAGTACAGCCTGGACTATTTAGCCAAAGCACATTAGGCTCAGTGCCAAGTTAAGGAACTAAGTGGGTCCTCTTCCATATAAATGGGAGGCAACTAGAATGGGATTCAATACTGCCAATAAGTTTGACCAAATCTCTGTTACTAGGGGCCATATCTATCGGAATACCAGACATTTCAGAGAAGTGGAGAAAGGCCATAGCTTTCTCATCTTGCTTGTCTATTTCTCAGAAGTATCTCCCCAGGACATCATCAGAAGCTAAACACTTGACTATGTGGACCTCAGACATCTCTATTAAAAGTTGCTCTTACAAGGGGCTCTTGACTTTTCGTTTGGCTTTTTTTTTCCACTGAGGTTCTCAGTCACATTATTTTACTGATATTAGTGAAGACATCCTTCTACAAACTGTGAGGTAAACAGGATTGGGTGGATGAAGTTCAGTTTCTTCCTATACTTCCACTCAAAACACTTCCGTGGTTTCTTTCCCAGACTCACTGGTATTTGGGAAAGAATTTATACAGAGGTCTTCCCATATGGTTTCACTCATCTGCAGATTTCTAAACTCATTGTAATAAAAACACTTCTCACACATATAACATATTCCAACTATTTATTTCCAGTGGATGGCTTTGGGTGGCTTGTCATCTGCTACTTTTCAAGAAAGCATCTTTCTAAGACACAGCTTCTCTCCAAAGTAGATTCTATAGTAAGTTATCAAATTGGAATGGTGATCATAACATATGACAGCCTGGGCACTGGAATATATAGGGTATTTCTCTTCTAGAAGTTATTTTGTAGGAAGTGCCCCATTGCAGGACTGCTTTCTTGCATAATCTCTTGGACGCATCACAGACATTGAAATCTGAGGAAAACGTTTACCTCACTCCTGGTATTTGGAAAGTCTCACCTCTGTGTGGCTACACTGCCACAAAATAGCAAAGACCCCACATTGTATTACAATATATAATATATAACCACATGCCATTAAGTCAATTCTGACTAATGGCAATCCTTTTTAGTGTTTCCTAGGTAGATTGTACCAAGAAGTGGTTTACTGTTCCCTTCTTCTGGAGTCACCCTGGGACTGTGCGGCTTGCTCCAGGGCCACACAGGATGGGTCCACCTGCAAAAAGCACGGTAAGGAATCAAATTCGCAAGCTCCGGCTATGCAGCCAGAGACCTAGACCAGTGAGCCATCCAGCCAGGTTATACAATAAATCTACCATAATATTCAGAATAACAAAAATGTGCCATGTATGTAACACCCAAATCTATCTAAGCCTTTGAAAAAGAATTATTCACTAAATAGTAATAGTTATGTGCTGCCTAGCCCATGTGCAAATGGACTGGGCCTTTCTGTCTTTTCATAAGTCTTTCTCCGTCTAACGACATTGCACAAATGGCTAAAAAAATTTATCTGTCCTAATTCATTCAAAAATGTCTGCAAACCAAGGTCAAGAATAAATTTTTCCAAAGTTCAGACTAATCCCATACAGAGCATGACAAAGACAATTTAATTGAAATGAATTTGTATCAGCATTTGTTATTGATATTGGATTATGAACACCTAATGGTAGAAATCCTGTATGTTTTCGTGTAACATAAAGTTATGCCAGCGTACGTATGCAGGAGACAGTCCCGTGGCTCCCACTGCAAGGCACACATGCAGAAGTGTGTTGTGAGTAGCACTTACATCCGGCCCATTTTTGCTAATGCTGCAGCAGCATCGCATTGTGCATGCACAACTGTGCAATAGGATTTCAGTATACACTATATGTAACATACATGGTATGTATGTTATTATATTTTGTATGTTTGTATTTTCTTTTATACAGGATAATGGATTTATTATACCTCATAAAGGAAATTGGAGACCTTGCTGCTTTTTATAGTGCCTGTTTACAGGAACCCTTTATTCTAGCACTGCTTCTCTGCAGTGTGGATAAGCTGGTGGATCTCAAAGCGTGACTTCGAAGCAAAATATTTCCCACATTCCTGGCATTTGTACGGTTTCTCTCCTGTATGGACTCTCTCGTGGCTTATAAGGCCTGAACGGAAAGGAAAACATTTACCACACTGCCGGCATTTGTAGGGTTTCTCTCCTGTGTGGACCCTTTGGTGGCTCCTGACATGTGAATTACGAGCAAAACATTCACCACACTGCTCACATTTGTAGGGTTTCTCTCCTGTGTGAACTATTTGATGTGTCACAAGATGCGAATTCTGAGCAAAGCATTTCCCACACTCCTGGCATTTATACGGTTTCTCTCCAGTATGGACTCTCTGGTGTTTATCAAGGTTTGCCTTGTCAGCAAAACATTTTCCACACTGCTGGCATTTGTAGGGTTTCTCTCCTGTGTGAACTTTCTGGTGCCTGACAAGTTCTGAATTATGACCAAAACATTTTCCACACTCCTGGCATTGGTATGGTTTCTCTCCTGTATGAATTCTCC